TATTTATATATATATATTATGCTATCTAGGGTCCTTTCACAGAATTCTTTTGTTTGTCTGACACATACTGGAATTGCCTTTAAAGGCAAAGTCTGGAGCTCCAGTGACTCAGAGGCATAGCTTTTTTACTTGCTGGCTATATCAGACACCGTTGGCCTGATAACAGCAGATGCTGCGACTACATCAGTAATGCGTCTGTCTAGGAATTGATGAAAGCAATGCAGTGCTCATAAAAATGAAATCACTGGCCTTCTAAACTATGATGCCACAGCAGCCTGTTTATGCCACAGCAGCCTGTTTACCAGTGAGCACTGAGAGCATGTGGTGGCCAGGGTCACGTGCACCATCAATATCCCCAGAAAGTATGGATTTTTGTTGTCTTAACATGCAATAAAACTAGATAGAGCAGTTGGGCATTAATTGACTGTCCATTCTGGAGTTTTTAGAAATGAGATGGTTGTATGCTTCCTCTGGTTTTTCCTGAAACATTAGAATATATGCTTATTGCAGATAAACAAACAGCGTTCTTGTGTGCGTGCTAGGCTGAAGCAAGGTGAGAATGGAGCTGTATGAACTGATAACAGTGATGAAGCTTGTAGATTTTTTTTTTTTTTTTTTTTTTTTTTCTTGAAAATTAAAAAAGGGTTGAAGCTTTTTGTTTTTTTTTTTTTTTTTTTTTTTTTAGCTCTGGAGTCCAGGAGGGATTGAGATTTAGTTGTCCTGGCTGACAACAGATAATAACATTCCAGAGTCTGAAGAGATCAGAAAGAGTCTTTTGAAACAGCAACTAGCTAATAGCATCTAAAAATATCTTGTTATCAGATTGTGTCATAATAGATTTCTTATTTGTTATAAAAACACAGCTTTATATGTGCCTGCATACACATGCATGCAGTTACTGAACTAATGAGGACTGTGCACAGATTTCTGAATGTTGGAGTTTGGTCCCTATTAAAATGTTTTTCTAACACTGTACAGCTTTGGGAGGATTATTCTGGCTGATGCTCCTTTTGGGGTATACATAAATGGAGTGATACAGAGAAAATGATTGTTCCTGCACTCTACGGATGCATAAACTGTACCACAGAGAGTCCCTGCAGATTTTGCTCTCTGTAGGAGGAATAAAGAATGCTACTTCTTTGGAAGGGATATTGGAATATTTATCAGGTCAGTGTGTGTGTCAGGCAAAGACTTTCTATCCTAATTGCCTTCCAATAATCTGACTTTCAAATGCTCTTCCTTTCGATTTTTAGCTACATGCTTTCTCCCTTATGCTGACTGAAAGGTTCCTTGTTTCCAGGGTGAGCTAATGCTGCTCCTAAATCAGTGAGTTGATATAAAGGAGTAAGACTGCAGAAGAGAAACAGAATGGTAGCATGTTTCATTCCTTTGAGAGTAAGGGAGGAGGGATTACAGGGAGAGGAATTAGGTGTCTGAAAGAAAAACTTGGGAAAATAAGATGCCTTGCTGAAAGCTAAATCTCTATTGATGGGATTACTCCCGGAAAGGCAAATGAGAATGCAGAAGACAAACACTGAGCTCAGTATCTGGAATGGAAGAATGGGAGAAGGGTTTGGCAAGGGGCCAGGGAGATGTTGACTTGGCAGAGAGAAGGTATGTAGAAGTGGCTGTAACCTGGGTAGTGCTATTGAGTGAGCAGGGTGAAGGCAAACAGAGTTAGTCTGAACCAGAAAACTTGTCCTGAAGGATTTTGCTTGCGGAGGTATTAGAAAGAATTGCACAAAATTTATGTGAACGAAATCAAATAGCATGGGCTAGGCAGAAAGTGTTTCACATTAGAGCAATATAGATAAGAGGCAGGAAGGATTTGGGGTGACTCTGCAGCTACGTAGTTGTGAGTGATTTGGCAGTAAGTGCATAAATGCGATCAGCTAATATCTGACTGTTGCTCTGTCAGCAGCAGGGAATTATTTCTTAAAAGGGAGTGAAAGAGAGAAACAAGGCCGTAACTCAGGGACATACGGTCAGGCAAGGAGTATGTGTAGAAAATTACAAAATCTGTTTAAATGACAAATGAGGATTAACCTATGCATTTTGCCTGAGTTGGATTCACTGGATAATTTATTAGGCTAGATCCTATTTCTAGCAGAGACCTGGATGTCTTATGTAAAAGTAGTTATCAGTTAACTGAAGTGAAAATTACGCTCTTAGAGCAAGGAGCTTGTGCCTTCTCTGTAGGCCTTGGAAAGGGACCTTGCATGGGTGGGAAGTGCTTGCGCAGTAGGGTCAATATCTCTGCTATGGTGAAATTCTCCATTGCTAGGATGTTCCTCCACTCCATCAGAAATACCCTCACGATGGCCGGGTGATCATCAGGGAGTGGCTTACATGAGGATGCAGGAGGGATGACAGGACGGAAGGGAAACAGAGCACAAGCAAGGAAAAGTAGAGGATGGGAACATGGGATGCTGTGGTCAAGTCAAAAGGGACTCTGTGAAACTAGAGGATGGACTGGGATCCAGACCCAGGGGTTATGTAGATTTGGTGGGATACTGTGTGTGTGGAAGGGAATTGGACTACATCTCAGTAATTTTTTTACCTTTTTTTTTTCTCAGCCTGCCCACTCTTCACTACCGCAAATGTCCAAGTGCCCAAATGGTATGCATTACCTGCTCAGTTGTATAATATATACATAAGCTGCATCTACAGGTGCAACTGCACAGCAAACCCTGTTTTTACAGCATCACTCCCTGTGTAACCCCACATTTACCTTCTTTTCCCAAGCAGAATTAATCCTGTTGCATCTTGCAATTATTCTTTTTCCTCAGGATATTGCTATTCTTCCCATTAAAGCCCCATGTATGTGGATCCCACCAGCTACAGTAGGCCCTTTTTTCTGAGAATATGTTCTTTCATGTGCTTCTCAGACAATGTATTTTGTTTGGTTCCATTGCACTTGTAACTTCTTGTCTATATTATCATGCTTCTTTCTCACTTCTTTCTCTTAATGTCAGCATCCATTCAGACTTTCTGAACACAAAAGTAATTAAGGCTCTAGCTAATGGTGGCCCATACCTTGACTTCATCATTGGACACAGTTGGGTAGGGGGAAAAAACGGTCCTTGTATGGAATTTTGTTGCAGGAAAAAGTGTGTTCCGGGGATTTCCTTACTGCTTCCTTTATTTCTCTTAAGTATCTGGCTTGGAGCCAAGGATTTGGAATTAAGTGGCTCTATTGATCTGGTGTGTAGTGACAGTGCTCATAGTCCCTGAAGTAATGACTTGCTTTTGCTGCCTTGCTGAGAGGGAGATGTTATCCTTTTTAAATGGTCATTCAAAGGTGCTGAGATTCTGTACATAGACAAACAATAACAGTTTAAGGGACATTATAAAGCTGGATGTGCTATATGGCTTCAGGAAACTAATGCTCCTACATATTAGAGGCTTGGCATTTCTGATGTATTATTCTCTGCTACTTTTCATAGTAGGAATGCAGCCCAGCAAGACAGTCTCTTTTGCAAGAGAACAGGGAGGAGCTCTGCTTCATTTTAATTGTTTTTTTTCCTGGGTTGCCATGTCCATTTGATATGCCTGCGGGGATTTTATTTACAGGGCCACCGGATGAAACGGCAGATTGATGTCTGGGGGAGCTGGGGTGAATGGAGCAAGTGCAGTCGGAGCTGTGGCGGTGGAGTCAGCTTTCGGCAGCGGCGCTGCTATTCCCAAAGGTGAGGGCTAACCTCCTTTTTTCTTTCCTTAAATGTGTTTTTTTTTCTGTTATTGAGCTCCTACAGTTATGTTCCAATGTACACGCAGAACAAAAAAAAGACCTAGTGTTTGATTCCAGGGGAATAAGTTACCCAAGTCCACTTTGAGATGATCCTTGGCTTCAGCCTCGTCACTGCTGTTTTGAATAGCACTCTCTTCAACACACCCTTGCTCTGGCTCCCTCCCCAGAGCACGGGGTTTTGCAATCAGGAGATTGGTATGGCAGCAGCTGTTCAATCGGGTCTAGTGTGGCGGGCCCGGCAGAGAGGGAGAACAGTCCAGAGCAGCAGGTTTCTCTCCAGAGAGCCAGTGCCAAGATTTTCTCAGGCTTATGATTCCAAGGAAGGTAAATTGCCCCGGAAGAAACGGAAGAGTGGCGTTGGCTTAAGCAGCGGTAACACTCTGCCACCGCATTTGCAGCTGGGTTAGATGCAGTGAGGATGATGACTGGGACTGTGCCTGTTGGGAATGATGGACCGGAGAGATCCTGTTGTGGATAAAAACAAAGAAAGGGGGGGAAAAAAAAAGCCAGACTCTCAATAATACCCAGAAAAAAGCAGCCTCTTTATGTTTAGAGAAATTAGAGGTTTTTTTCTAATAGAAGAATCCAGAGTTATGGAGCACTGCTTCTTCCCACCCAGAATAAAGAAAGGTCTCTTTTGAAGGCTGCCCATTACGTTACACACCTGTGTGTTATGGTAGACACCTGCCAGAATCCCTGGGGGCCTGTCTCTCCCTTTTAGGAATGTGAGATACTGGTTGGCTTTTTGGATCAGTTTTCTCCATTACTGTTACTCTCCATAATTCTCAGCTGGAATCGTTTGTGTGTTGCATGCTTTCCATAGGCATGTTTAGCTCTTCCTACTAATGGGCCTAGTGTGCACGTAAACAGCACGAGAGATGTTGTGTGCACCTATTCTGAATTGGCCACTACCCTCCTGCTGCTTGCAACATGTGTCTGCTTCTGGTATGGACACCCCGACTGTTTGCTGGTGGACAAAGGACTAAAAGCTCTGCTTTCGTTATTTAGGTGAAACATGACCCTGAAGAGCTATACTGCAATCGTTCTTGGTGTGTGTGTCTCATGCCGGAATGCAAACCATAGTAGAAAATGGCACTAGAAGATTCCAGCTTGCTTTACTGGAAAAGAAGTGCATTTTAGTTATTTTGCTGTTTCAGGAAACTGTGTGAGGGCGATATGCTTGATGTGAAGGTGATTTGTAATGTCTGCCACAAGATGATTTTTTGCATCTGTATTCTTCAGAGCTTCATGTTGTTTTTCTGTCTTTCAGGACAGAAGGTGCTTCCAGTTGTGTTGGACCAACTCGAAGCTATCAGTCGTGCAACATTCAGGTACAGTGCTCTGTTTTTTGTTTTTGCTTGCTGTTGCTCCTGTTCCCCAGACAAACATCATTCTTGTTCAGAAGTGATGTTATTATTAGTTTCTCCTTCTCTAGCATCACTGGTGAATGTGGTTCATCAACAGTACCACTTCAAAACCATATTGAATTTATGCCCCTGATTTTATATGGAGCAATAACAAATAAAAACTCATTTTTTGTTGTACACATAATTTTCTTCCTTTCTATAATGGCCCAACACAAGCGTTTTTTCCTCTGAACAGAGCTGCCCGGAAGGCTCCCGGGATTTCCGGGCAGAGCAATGTGCAGAGTTCGATGGGACAGAATTCCAAGGAAAGAAATACAAGTGGCTTCCATATTATGGAGGTAATGATAAACATGTAGGGTTACACTTCATCTGTAACTATCAACAGTATGCTTTGAAGCGACTGTAATGTTTTTGACTGTAGTATCCTCGTAGGGTACTTCCTTAGCTGGAGTTGGAGGGGAGGGGCAAGCATGGAAAAAATGTTTTTACCAGCAGCAAAGCATTGCTCTTGCAAAGACACTGGATGCACGGGCCAAGAGGCAGCTCCCATTGCAGCAGTACATAGTTGTCTCTTTTAACAGCCATTCCTGCAGAAACGTTGCTTAAGAAGGCTGGGACTGACTGCAGCTAGGTCCTAAAGTGTTAGAGCAGCAGAGGCGCTGCTGTATTTTTCAATTGGCAAAAGAGTATTAGCAGGGCACAACAGAAACAAATGCATATAATTAACGAGTGCTTCAGAAAATATGACATCTCCTTTAATTGGCCCATGCTTCCTTGAGGAACCAGCTCAGAAGGCAGGTGTAGGAACCAGAGGTCCTTGCTCTGAGCTTTGATGTATTATCATTCACAGAGGTTTAACAAATTACGAGAGATTTCAAGATGGACTTAAAGTTTTGTTGTTTGGCTGTTAAGATAACAGCGCCCTTATGTTCTATATCAGCACTTGTTCTCATTCTAGAAAGCCTTGTACCCCAAGAGAGCATAAGAACAGTCCTACTAAGGGATAACCAAATATCCACCTGGCCCAACGTCCCCCCTCCACCACTGGCCAGCCAAGGTGCCCAAGGAAATGGTTGCATACAGTGAGGGTCTACCAGGGTATTTTTCCAGCCCCCAGCAGTTTGTGACCCAGAAATGTCTTCAATATCTGCCACTTAATATCAGTCCACTCCTCTGTTTCTGCTCCTGTGATCTAAAACCAGGCTCCTGATGCATAATCATCAAGCTATTAACCATAGTATATAATGTTTGGTTTTTCTCTCCTACCAGCGCCTAATAAGTGTGAGTTAAACTGTATTCCCAAGGGGGAAAACTTCTACTACAGGCACAAGGAAGCAGTGGTAGATGGGACTACCTGTGAGCCTGGCAAGCGGGATATCTGTGTAGAGGGAGCTTGTCAGGTTAGTCGTCTTCTTGCTTCTTTCATTTACCTTTGTGACTGTCTTTCTGTTGCTTCCCTCTGTCCAACTTGGCCTTTCATAATAGCACCAGAAAAGGAGAATCATTCAGTTTCCAAGGTGCTGAGGAGCACATGGACAGCATTTATCTGTCTCTGAATGCGAAATAATAGAAGTTGCCAACTCTGTCCTTTCTCTGACAGCTCCTTCCCTGCCCTATCCTGACTTCCCAGACTCCCTAGATTCAGACTTTCTCGTTAGATCTAGCATTTGGCCATTTTTTCTTTCTTTCCTCTGCCATTATGGATTATTCATATCAGTGCTCCTGTGCTCTGACAGGCCGTTGGCTGTGATAACATGCTGGAATCTGCCAAGAAGGAGGACAAGTGCCTGCAGTGTGGAGGAGATGGCAGCACCTGCTATGGTGTGAAGGGCACTTTTGATGTCCCCAACCTCCCCAAAGGTGCAAATGATCTGGGTAGTTTGGGCAAGTGAGAAGGGGAGAGTTAAACCTAAACTCAAGCTCCGGCAAGGGCTGGTGGAGACACCTGCTCACATGATTGTTGTAGGCAGGCGTGGATGTTCACTTGAAAAGTCTGTATGGCACGTGGCTCTTTAGCTGCTTTAGCATCAGAAAATGCATTGTATTGGTGGCCTTATCCTGGGAATCATTTCCTTAGTCTCAGTACAGATGGATGTACTTGCCATGTTGCTAGTGTCTTTCCCTGCTCAGGCTCCAACAGGTGCTGTAAATATACCATATGAATATAGTTATACACCTCCTTCATAAGACTGTCCCCCCATTCCAGTCTTTTGACAGCCCCACAGGGATTGGTGCAAGGCTAGAAATGGGACTGCATCTTCTGCATTTGGCCAATTTTGAGTAATTTCAAAATAACAACTGCATTTGTGGTCAAATCTCTCTGTGTTGAGCACCAATATGATACTTGCTGAAATTCCTAAGATTTTAAAATCTAAAAAATGAACATTGCACTGACCTCCATACTTAATTTTCTGAGGTGTAGTTGGAACATTTTACACATGGACTGTCCTGTGGATAGTTTTGGGTGGAGCTCTTCAGAATGCAGGTAAAGTGAAATCTTCAGGATATGGTTTAGTGGGCATGGTGGTGTTGGGTTGATGGTTGGACTTGGTGATCTTAAAGGTCTTTTCCAACCTTCGTAATCCTGTGTGATTCTGTGTGTGTGAAATACTTCAAGCCACCATCAAAAAGCTCATCCAGTTGTTCAGGCACCAATAAAACCAGGAGCATCTTTGGCACAGAAGAGTAACTGTGTGGCATCCACATGACAGGTATTGAAAAATCCCCCGTCTTTTTTTTTTTTTCAGGGTACAATCAAATCTTCATCATCCCTGTGGGAGCCACAAGCATCCGAATTAAGGAGGTTATGCCCAGCAGGAACTTTCTAGGTAAGACTGATGTCCGAACCTCCATTTGGATTCCAGCCATTGTGTTAAAACTTGGTTTTCGGGTATACTAGGCTTTGGGATATTTACCTTGAGGGCTTGATACAGCAGAGGGAAAAACGCTGTGAAAATCAGGATCTCAATATCGAGTATCCTTGAAGTGTTACTGATGCTCAACTCTGGCCTTCAGGTTTATCTCATTATCTTTTCTGTAGTGATCTTGCTGTTGGGTGGGGAATAAAAAGACTTGAACCATGTTCAAACTTCCTGCCTGGAACTTACATGGAATCTAGTTGATATAGCAGAATTTGGCTATGAGTTTTGCTGTTTGCTTGGTGGATGTAAGTCCTAACTCTTCCTGTCACCCAAAGATTTGGGATGGGCTTCTTTTCCCCATAGATGTCTTCTGGGTGTTTGTCTGTACAACCTCAAATTCTGGTCGTGCTGCAGAGGGCAAAATAGAGGGGGGAAATGTCCTCACCGAGCTTTCTGGGCAGGAAATTCCAGTGGAGAAAGCAAATACTCTTCTGCTTTCTGACTCTTCCATTGCCCAATGCTTTGGGCAAATCACTCTGGTTGTTTTGTTTGTAGAACAGAGGATGTAGCACCAAAGTCTTTGTCTTCTGAATCAAATGTCTGATGAACAGGATAGTGGTGTAAAGGCAGTGGGGTGTGAATCCCACATCCTAACGGCAAGCGGGACATAGGCTGTGCCGCAGTAACTAACAGTGGGGAATGCGGAGACAGGGATGGAATACACTTGGAGACATTTGGTTATGCAGCAGAAAAGTGCTTGGTCTGCAGCAAAGCTGGCAAGAACCACTGTCTGAACGTGGAGCAGCTTCTAGCAAGAGAGCAGTACAAGGGGGACAGCACTGTTGGAGGATGATGGTCTCATTTTTTTGCTACACCTGTGATGCAGTGTTGAGTGGAAACAGGCGCATCCCTGTTGAGTTCTGAAGGCCTTCTTCTGATGTGTGCATTCATGCTGTGTTGGTAGATGCTGCCATATTAGATGGTCGCCTAAAGGGTTACAATACTGATGTAAAGGAGCTGGGGTTCAAATGGTGGAGCTGAGAGCTCTGTGGATTGACAATACCCTGACAGTCTAGAGCAGGCCTTGTCTGGTGGTATCTGGAGCCAGGTGTCAGGTTATAGGTGTGTTAATTTGCCGCCTTTTCTTCTCTGGCACGTGGGTTTGTCCAGCTGTCAAGAACGTGCGAGGGGAGTACTACCTGAACGGGCACTGGACGATTGACTTCAGCCGAGCACTGCATGCAGCTAGCACGGTTATGCACTACGACCGTGGCTCGGAGGGTGATCTGGCCCCAGAGCTCCTCCATGCCCGGGGCCCCACCACGGAACCCCTCGTCATTGAGGTAAGCGGCTGCGCCTGGCCCCCGCCGAGGCTCTCGCGCGCTCGCTTTGTGCAGAAGCCCTCTCTGTGGAGCACGCTGGTGGGGACCGGAGAAGTGACGGGGCCCCGGGAGGGCTCTGGTTCTGCTGCCCAGGAAGGAGCAGGGAAAGGCTTGATATTGGCTTCCTGCCTGTTCCCTTGGGCTCTGGCTTTAAGGGAGAGGAGAGTCAGCACCAAGTGGCGTTGGGGCAAGGACAGGCTTTAGGGCACTGCTTGTTACAGTGTGCTGTGGGCCAGGCAAGGGTACTTACTGTTACAGGAGCAGCTGGATCTTCTGTCTCCGAGAGGGATGAATGCACCCTTCTCTGAAAAATAATGCTCTCTAGGGTTGCATAGAAGGCGAGGAGAAAATGCAGCGTAGAGGATAAGTGCCCCTTGAACGGGAGGGAAGCAGGTCAGCTTGAACCCTCAGACATGGTGGGAAAATGCTGCGACAGGTAAAAGTGCTGCTGCTGTTGTTTCCCTGACTTCATGCCATGCTTGCACAGCTCATCAGCCAGGAGCCAAACCCAGGGGTACAGTACGAGTACTACCTGCCCGTGCAAGGACAGGCCTCGGGCTACAGCTGGAGCTACGGTTCCTGGAGCGAGTGCAGCTCCGAGTGTGGAGGAGGTAAGGGGGACCGGACCCGGTCTCTGGGCTGGTGTAGGGTTCATATCCACACCCTGAAGACAGTGTGACTGTGTGCTGCCCTCTGCAGCTGCTTCCCAGCAGTCTCCCGCTGGAGGACAGCACAGGTATCTGCAGGGGGCAGCTAAGGTTTTGTCAAGGGAGGGCCACCCATGGAGTCACAACAGGACTGTGTCCCATGTACTGTCCTGTCTTCGTTTCCATGCCCTAGTCCTCAGACTTGTTACTAGGATCTGTTAAAGCTCTTCATAGGTAGCCTTTCTTTTATTTTGTTCTGCTTCAGTTCATCATGTCCTTTTCAGGCCTTTTCAACCACTTGAGAGGTCCTCTCCAAGCTGACCTGGCCTACGTAACTAAGTTGCATCATTCCCCTCTACCATAGCCTGGAAGATTCCCTCTCTGCAGGGGGACTGTTGTATCTCCTGGCATGTCACGTCATGTTCAGTTTACAAATTCTTCCAGGAGCAAAGTTATGATTTTAAGCTAAAAAAAAATCCCAATCAAATGAAAAAAAAAAAAAACAAAACAAACCCTCCAGCTGAAGAGTTTCTCCATGTAGAGTTTTCATCAGCCTCTTCCAGTCTTCTGTGCTGATGGCCATTTCAATAGCTTTTGCCATGTTGTGGTTGTAGGAGCTGATACTGTCTTTGCTGAGCACTCTCATCCTGTAGGAAGCATGAAGAGTGGCAAGTATTTTCTTCAGTGTCCAGTCTTCACAAGACTGACCTTCTGGGTCTAAAAGGAGGCCCCCAGCTCTGCTGCTGTATACTGCACACACCATGCAGGGTTCCCTGATGAGCAACATCTGGATATGGCACTTCCCTTGTGAGTCACAGTCCACTCAACAGGAAAATGCCCCTCAGCTACATGGAATTGTTCTGTCTCTCTTGCCCTTCCAGTGGAATCGTACTGTGGAGAGGCATCATATGTACATCTGGTGACAGACCAAGAACCGCACCTGACTTTTCCAGCTTGACTGGGGCAGGTGCGGATTCTGTATGACTTTAGAAACTTGTCTTGTCAACACCAGTGCATTTCAAACCTAGTCCTGGACGGCTTGCATTAACCCAGATACTCTCTTGCTTCTCCTTTAGGTTTCCAGTCCCGCTTGGTGTTTTGTACCATAGACAATGAAATTTATCCAGACTATATGTGCAGGAATAAGCCACAACCAGACAATAACCGGACATGTGGCCGTCAGACTTGTCCCCAGACAAAACGGTAAGATTTCCTTTCCTCTTCTGGACTCTGACTTCTTCCTTAGGTGCTTTTGGAGCCAGGAAAAAGAATTACTCTCTCACTACTTCCCAACAGCATGGTGCTCTCTAAGGAAATGTTTCACTTCTTAGAGAAAGCCCAAGACAAAGGACGGTGATGATAACACCGTCATGAGCATTTCTGTGTGCACAAGGCTTGATAAGTCCCATGTTCATTTTATAGACAAATTAAATTTGCTTTCCAGCATGTGATGGTGGAAGATAGTCTTCTAGCCCATGTAGGGGATAGGAAACGGATTCTTTGGGTTTTGTTCTCTTCAACTGGAGCCCACAAAAAAAGACTAGGTCAGAGCTGGTGTCATTTCATGTCATTTCTGCATTCCTCAGTGTCCTTGCTCTTAGAAAGGGATGAATCCTGGAATCTTTTTGTTCACCAGCATTTTCAAATGCCTTTACCCAGCCATTTTCACCCTGTCCCTTGCTGACATAGCCTTGCAGCTGGCTTCACTTGGGTCTTATGTGGGCATCCAGAACTGTAACCAGAGCCTTAACTGTGTATCTCACTGTGTATCTGGTGGGTGCAGTGGAGGCCTCTGAGTGTGCTGTCGTGGGTGAGAGGGCACTTGGAAACTTGGGAGCATTTCTGAATACCTGGTAGTCTGTAGCTACTTGCTTTAAGTTCTTTAAATACTTTGTTCTGTGTATAAAGGACTTCTTACGTCTATCTGCCGCAAGCCTGGAGTCACAGTGGAGCACGGAGCTCTCAGATGAAGAGGTAACAAGGCGGTTGCAGAAAGCACAGGAAGGCAGCTGCTCTCTTCTGCTCTCCACCTAGTTGCCCACTGAAGTCTGTGGGGATTTTCCTCTTTGGCACGGGTGGTAGCAGTGGGTGGTGCTTTGCTTTTGGTTCTTGCCAGTGAAAATGATGGTGAAGGGTGCTGGCTGACAGCTTTGCTTAGGTGGTTGTGCATGCTCCTGGTAACTTGGCTCTTACGGGACTGAGAAGGGGACAGTTTTTTTCAATAGCTTTTGGCTGCTTATCCCGATAATTGTTTTTTCTCTGGAATCAGGGTAGAGAGGTGAAAGGATGTTTTGGAAGATTTTTGTTTGATTTATCAAGATAAATAAAAGAACAGAAAGGAAAAGAGAGCATGATGGGTTGGGAGATTGAAACATTGGCCAGGGTCCCAGAGTGCCATAGCAAAAGCCTCCGAGTTCCTCAAAAGCTCTTTCTTTGGCATGGGTCCTACACCGGGCAGAAAAGTGCCTGTATACTGTGATGAGTGCAAGGATGTGATAGATACAATACTTGCAATGCACACTAAGGTATGAGAAGTAAAAAAGATCAAAGCCAAAACAGTTGTCCTTCAGCACACTGCTAATAGCTTAGGACTTGTAATACTTCGCGCTCTGATGAGGGTCCCAGCCTTATGGTTGACCTCACCTTACAAATGAAATGAAACAAGTGTCAGACACTGTGTCTTGGCTCAGGAAGCTGTAGGTGAGCCCATCCAGTTGATACAGCCTTTCTAAAATTGCACATTTTCTTTACAGTAGGTAGAATACAGTTTTGGGGGTTTTTTAATCCCCACTGGAGCGTCTGAAAAATCTTGAACAATTAATTTGTTTTGAGCCCTGCAACCACATCACCTTAAATGGCTTCTACTTGCTGTAGTTCTTCCCTTTCCAAAGGGAACATCTTATTTTATAGTAAAGACGGTTCAGTTTTGGGCTGATATTTGCACCTAAACAGGAAAGAAGGGTATGTTAAGGAGATGAACATGTCTTCCCTTTGCTGAGTCTGTCGTGTAGTTTCTGGTAGGATGTGAATGTGAATTGGCTGGCTGAAACTCAGTTCAGGGGTGGTGAGGGCGGACCAGGGAAGCAGCTGGAAGGCTAAGGGAGAAAACATGAACTGCCTTCATGCCCTGGCTGGGGCTTACCGGACTGCGAGGGGAGGAAGCAGCTGACAAGCAGATCGTCGTGATGCTTCTGCTGCACCACCAGTGCCTTTAGACTGCACAGCACGCTGGAGTCGGGAATGAACCATCATGTTGTCCCTGAAGCCAGGCCATGTAAGCTGTGCTCCTGGCTACTGGGGCAGCTCTGAGACACAGGAGTGGACTAGGCCAGGGATTTTAGCATCCAAACAGTCAGATTGTTTTGTGGATGTTCCCCCTTCGGTCAGCAAGTGTATGTAATTTCTGTGACAGCCTCAGCAACCAAACACAGGACAAAATCTATTTAAAGTTTTGGGAGCTTTTTTGTGTGTGCTGCTGTTAGAGAATTTGGCTGATGGGAGGAATAAACCAGCTTTCTTAACAGCTGTCAGTGAAAAGTTCACAAGCACTTCTGAGAGTGTCTGGCATGGTTTGCAGGCGGAGTGAGGTCTTGGCTTGGTTTTGCTGTTTCTGATAATGCCTGGAGTGTAACGGGCTGTTAGGCAGGTGTGGGTTGCTTTTCTCTTAGCTGATCTGGATTGTTTTCTTGTTTCTTTTTTCTTATTTGGTCTTCCATTCCAGGCATGACGCTTTTGCAAACATCAGGAGACCAAAAGCCATGGAGAGAAATCTTCCCCCTCTGAGAGAGCTCTGCACTTCCAGAGAAACAAGTGTTTTGTAGCTGGGGCTTTGTCTCTGGAGTGGGACTCGTGCTCTGCATTGCCAATTAAGCTGGGCAGCTCTTGGTCAAACGGGAACTCGCCTCTGACTCTGTTCTGCAGAGGGACATTTTCCCTGTCCGATTACAACAGTGACACGGCACTGACCTCCCCTCTGCCTCCGGGCAGTTTAGCTGGGCTTACATTTGTTTGCTTCGTTCTGTGACCTTCAGGTGGAAAACGGGGGAGTGGGGATCCTGCTCAGCTACCTGTGGTGGGGGCACCCAGACTCGCTCCGTTTACTGTGTGGCATTCGACGGTCAGAGCTCCCAAGGGGTGGTGGATAACGCCGAGTGCATGGCCTTCGCACAGCAGCCTCGCAGCAGTCAGCCCTGCAACGTGAGGCAGTGCGCGACCTGGAGCACCGGGCCCTGGTCCGAGGTGAGTTTGGGGGTGCGGGGAGGGGGCAACCGCCTCTTGGCACATATTGAAGGAGGATCTGCCAAAGACTGGGGATAAAGAGCCAGGCTCCTTTTCTGGGACTGTAAAAGGTGTATGTCCCTGGAGAGGTGGTGTGCAGGGGTATAGGACTTGTCCCTGCGGTCCTCCAAACGAGTTCTCCAGCTAGCTAGCAGCTATGCGCTCCTATAAACACATCCTGTTCCTCAAAACTGTGCGTGCCCCTGCCCCCCTGCTCCTCCCATTGCATGTTACCTTCCCTCTGGTCTCCCAGTCCTTTCCCCACTCCTGTATTTTTATCAGATCCACCGGACCTGGCACTGGCTGAGTTTCTGAGACGGGCCTGGTGAAGGCAGAGGACGGCCACGAGAGCTGCTGTCCATCAGCGGGTGATGGGCAGTAACACTCCCTCCTCTGTAAAACCGGAGCTCACGGCTCCTGCCTGTGCTGTTCATTGCCATGCATATTGCTGCCTCAGCATTACTAGCCCTGGACAGCAGTACTAAAATCACAGCAGTCAGTTAGCAAGGTACTCCTGAAACACTGGTGACCTGCTGTTTGCTGTGTGTCAGTGCGGGGCTTCTCCGAACGCAGCTGCGAGGTGTGTTTTTGATGCCTGTGTGCATTTGTGTCTCCAGGAGAGGAAACTGTTCAAGCCGTATGTGCTCAGGGCTGCCAGCCAGGCATTTAGAAGGCATCTTGTGTTCCAAGGGCTTAGAAAGTAAAGGTAGTGTCTACCTGGTCCCTAAAGCGCACCTGAATTTTCCTCTTTTAAAAGAAGGACACGCATGCTTGCAACATTTGACTTACGATCTTGTGGTGGTACTTTATCTGAGTGGTGCAGCAGCATAAAATACAACTTTGAGGCAAGATAACCTAGACTGTAAAGTCCTTCCCCCCACCCCTTGTGAGATGTGAGGTGTGAATACAGAGATGACTTCAAGGCTGCGGAGTAAGAGCACTATTTGGGGAAGGCACCAAGTGTCGTGTTCTTACAAACCGATTCCCAAGTGATTCATTCCAGGGTTCTCAAAAGCGACTGTACTCTCAGAGATAAAAGGACACTCTAGTAAATGAGTGGCTGAAACTCAGCTGGGAAGCTCATCTAAAGTAATTTAGACTGTCCCCAAGTTAATGCTCTCTGTAAGAGACCTTGGTAATTCATGGAGAAGTAGGCTGGATTCCAGGAAACACAACTGTGCATTTAAGAGGGCATTGAAAATGTCACAAACTGGTTACTAGTGTAGAAGTTGTCACAGTTCCACACCTTAAAAATGGAGCACATGGTTTTCAGGCAGAAGACATGGGCAATACAAGAACCTAATCTTTTTATCTTCCCCTGAATTCTTTACCTTGAGCTGATTTGAATCAGGAGTAAATAACATGAGGTTCCAGGTATTTCCTGCCATTTATTGTTCTCAATGTATTCTGCAGTATTGATATTTTTCCAAAATCACTTTCCATGTCGTCTTTGATAGAGATCAAGAAAAATGATATGACTAGGCCAAAATTATCCAGGGAGCTCCAGACCGCTCAGACCCTATCCACCGTGCCTTATTGTCTCTTCTACAGCATAAACAACTACTCTGCTAAATCTCATCCTAGAAGATGGTTTTAATGATGGTTGGTTGTTTCAGGCAATCTCAAAACGGTGCTGTGCCTAAACGTTAGGGAGCGCAGCCTGGAAATGTAAACGGAAACCGGGTTCTTCCTTGTAATTGTTGGGCCCCTTTCTGCAGTGCTCAGCCAGCTGTGGGGAGGGGGTCCAGACTCGGACCGTCACGTGCAGAACACAGCAGGGCTCTCCGGCTCAGGACTTTGCTTGCCTCATGGAGCCAAAGCCATCGGCCACCCAGCCCTGCCTTAAGGAGAACTGCATCCAGGAAATCGGCTGGCACGTTGGAGACTGGGGCCTGGTGAGCATCGCACTTTCACGGTTTGGAAATACCTGATTATATTGCTGTGCTCCTCGCAAACCAACTTTGATCCGTGCAGTCCGCGCGTGGGCCGAGGCTGGGAGCACGTACTGCTTCGTTACCAGTCCCTTGGCTCACACTTGCGTTGTAACTGGCACTAGTAACGCTCCAGTTAATCTGCTGCCTGCTTTGTATGCAGCTGCTACAAAAATAAATCCTTCTGAGGGAGGGATTGCCGTTTCAGTGGCAGTGGCAAAATGCAGCCAATAAGCTGAAACGATCCACTCTTGCTGCTTATTCCCAGTTCCTCACCCCATCGCTGTGAATAGCAGAACAGGGCTCTGGCCGAGTATGGCTCAGAGCTCCAGGCTTCAGGACTGGTTGTTGCGTTTGGTGATATGGTTTAAAGTACATTTTTGTAATTGTTCAGATCAACTGTGCTTCAGCTGGATTAGCCTTCTCTTTGTGGAGGGAGCCAGGCTGTGTTCAACCTGGGAAAAGCGATGGGGAGGAAGAGATGGGTGTAGATCCAATGCAGCAGGTGACTTCCAAACACACTTTTTCTCTTCTGTGCTAGCCAGACCAGCTCATTCTGAGTTAAAACATGTTACAGCTGGTTCTTCATGAGATGTGGGCCAAGTTTTAATAAACAGCTAATGAAGTTGCATACCTTAATCTGATCTTTCCTGGCCCCTGGCTTTCCAATTTCAGAGGGGCTCCTACCTGCATCTGAATAAGAGAGAGAAGTACTCTCCCAGTGTCTGTAGAGCTTGCCACGAGCAGGCGGGTTACACAGATACCTCATCCTTGCCCCTCCCCTGAGCTGCTGCTCGTTGCTTCCTCTTCATCGGCAGCTTCCAGTGAGAGGAACTCCAGCTAGCTGCTTACTAGTTTATTTTTCCTCGTTGTAAACTGTTGTTGTTGCATGAGTAGTTCAAAACTGACCCTCTCACAGCTGGTGGATCCCCACAGTATTGAGATGCCTTCAGGCCAGGCTGAAACAATTCACTCCAGCTCCCTGCCACACCACTGTGGGTAACAGCAGCTCATCTGGATTTTACAGGCTGAGCATGGCTCAGAGCCTAATGCTTCAGGGCTGGGTGAAACATTTGGTAAAACGGTTTAAAGTATGGTTTTCTAATCGTTCAGATGAATCCAGCTGAAGTATTGTTTGCTTTGTCTTGGTGGAAGAAGCTGTGCTCAGCCTGCAGCTAATCATGCAGCTGTTCCACACTTATGGTCTGTGGGGTTTCTGCATTCGGCCTCTGCTGCCCGCTCACTTGCCTTGTCTCTGTGCCCAAGTGTTCGAAGAGCTGCAATTCAGGCATCCGGACACGCCAAGTCATCTGTGCTGACGGCGACTCCAAATTCTACAGTCCCGAGACATGCAAAGCCATCCAGCCACAGAAACCAGCCACCCTGGGTAGCTGCAACATGCAGCCCTGCTACCTGCCACAGCGTGAGTGGTGTTGCTGCACACCTAGCTTTATCTAAGATGCTTTCGTTTAGGAGTAGAAATTCCCAGCTCTGCACAAGCTTATGTTCCCAGTTTCTTGCCTGCCTGTCTTCATCCTGTGCGTTTGTGCTTTGTGCACGTAACCACGGCATCTTCAGAGTCCCAGTACCTGTGCTATTTGAAATGTGTGTAACAGGCTTGGGAACAACATTGGTGTGTGTGTGTCCATTTTGAATTCAGTATTCTGTGATGGCTCTGTCCCAGTGTGCGCTGCAGACTGACCCCAGGGCTCCCAGTCAAGGAGGATGGCAACCTGGGCAGGTTCAGTAGCTAAAGACTATAGCAAACTCTCATCCCTCTGTGGACCAGCTATAAAGGAGACACAACTGCTCAGAAGATTTTGCTTGCAATCTCTGTCTAGTCTTCATGCCAGAGCTGAAATGCTGACTTTTGTCTGCCTGCCCATTGCAGGTCACTGTCCTGACAATCCAATCGAATCCAATTGCTGCTCAGCAGCTGTTCCAGGAGGAGAGAAACATTTTCATCAGCTTTAATCTCCTGTTGGCTCCTGGATGCATTTGCAATTATTAGAACATAGAACTGGACTAACTGAACTTATTTTGTGTATGCCTCTCTTTGCAGAGGTCCCAAGTATGCAGGACAGTATGGGATACGATGTCACTCGCCAGTCCTCACTGACACGTTACAGCCCAAACAGCCCTGTCACAGGTTTGGAAGAATTTTGTTAGTTTGGGGGTTTTGTGATGGTGGACTTGAAACAGGTTGTGGCAAGGGTAAGGTTCTTCCTTTTCTTCATTTCTCTTGTTCATTTCATGATCTTCTAGAAATCTGTGGAGCCGGGGAAAAAGTGTAGATTCTTTTACATGATCGTGAGCAGTATCTGAATCTGTCCATGCAGAAGAGACTGTACAGCATATAGATCCCAGGCTCTGGCAGCCTGACTTAAGTGTTGGCTGAGAGAAATGCTGCCCAAAGCAGACTGTGGGAAGAAAGGATCATGTGGGGGGACCACAGTGATGTGGCAGGTGGTTTCTCATGGGACAACAGGAAGAATGGTCAGGGCAGTGAGCAAAAGAACCTCAGGACAACAAAATCCTGAAGAGTAGGCCAGAAGACACATATGTAGATGAAATCCTGATACAGAAAAGCCTCCCCTGTAGCCTTGGGCAGGTGAGAGAGCAGAGATGAGGAAAACTGACCAGATTTTGATGCTCACTTGCATGCTTTAAGGAGTTCTCTCCCCAGATTCTGGTGATGAAAGGATGCTCCCTGGGAGCTCCACGATCCATAGTGCCTCTGGGAATCACCACATCCCATCCACCAAGAACCGTGGCATCAACTTGTTGCCTGTTCGCTGGGAATCCCAGCCACACTCGTCAGGTTCCCATCAGCTCAGCTTCTCTCAGGACCCCACTGTAGGGCCTGGCTCTCAAGACTGTCATCGGAGCCCACACGGCTGCTGTCCAGATGGGCACACTCCAGCTTCAGGCCCTCTGGGGAGAGGTTGCCCCTTCAGCACTTGTCAACGAAACAGGTAGCTGAAAGTAGAGGCCCAAGCAGGGAGGCATTGCCTTTCCTGGGGGCTTACTGAAATTTACAGCCTGTGCCTGTTGAGCTGGGCAGGTCAGGTATTGCTGCAGCCCTTCTGCCTTCTGCCTGTAAGGTATGGATGCTGTCCTGACGGAGTATCGGCTGCCCAGGGTCCAAACAACATGGGATGCCCACAATACTACCATGACGTGCAAGTGAGCAGGAATCAGCCCACTGCAGCTGCCCCAACAGTAAGTACAAAACCCCTTTGCATTTTAGCTGTCCATCAGCTACGAAGATTCAGATTTGACCCCAGTGACTCAGACCGTGTGTTTCTGTTGTTCTTCATCTCTGCCAGTAATACTGGAGACCAATGCTCCATGCATGGCATCAAGCCCTTTGGCCCACTTTGCTCCTGTTCTGTTTGGGGCATCCACCTGTGATCCTCTGTAAACGGGGGACAGGGTGGGTGGTTGGGAGATATCTGAGAAGTAGAAGACCATCCTATGTAGAACTGATTGAATAAACCCAAGTAATCAAATTTCTGTCGGTCAGAAACTTGCCATCCAATTTCTAGGAGGAAAAAAATGGGAAAAACATGGCCACCATTTGTTGCCTTTGTTTGTCAACTCTGCAGATTAATTGAGGGCAAAATAGTCAGAGAGGTAATTCCTCTCATAGCTTGGGGTGCTTGGTGGGGCCAGCTGAAAAAACTGGCCTGTGGCTGGGCTGGTTAGGTCTGTCTTGCAGAGAAGTGCAGCCCTGGCTCCATGGCTATCAGCCGAGTTTCCCACCCCTTCCCAGCATGAAAGCCTCTAGGAGGCAAACAAACAAATAGTAGGTCCTCTAACAGCTGGCCTTCTGCAGCCGACAGCTTGGACACAGTGCCTTGCATGTGCTACTGTCCCCATCTACACGTGATAACGTTTGGCTTTCAATTCCTGTCTCTAAGGCAAGCCAAGCCTTGTCCCAGCAGCACCCCTCGGGCGAGTGCCGCAGTTCCATGTACGGCTGCTGTTTTGACAATGTCGCTTCAGCTTCAGGTCCTCAAGGGGAAGGATGTCTCAATAGGCCCAACTACCGTAAGTGATGCTTTGGCTTCTTGGTTTAAAACTGTAGAAAGAGTCCTACAGAATCCAGTAGCGTATAGAAGCTGCCTGTGTAGAGGCTCTACTCTCTGTAAAATATAGTAAATTATCTCTGAAAATAAATTCTGCCTGGTGGCTGAGGCAGGGGAAGCTTGGAGGGAGTGTAGAAAAGTGGCCAGATAGGTCAGTTTTGTCAGCTACCACAGACACTCTTGGTGTCCTCTGGTGATAGTTGGACAGACGTGTGTTTATGTGATCTCTGTCAGTCTGTAGGACTTCTGGGGAGCTGTTTGCCCCTGAGAAGACACCCTGATGCAGCCTAGAGTGCTCCAAATTAGTTACTTGGGTTTAGGAGAAGTAAGGCCTCTCTGAGGAGTCAGGGCTGTGCTCAGCATTCAGACAGCCCGTGGACGGGGGTGGAATGAGAGCTACAGCTAAGGATGGAGGTGTTCCTCAGGACTGCATGGATGCTTTCAGCCAACAGAGTTCAATACAGTGCTTGATGTACCCAGCTGTATCCTCTGCAGGCGCATTGCTGCTGCATTGCCTCGTCCTTTTGCCGCAGCACAGAGACTGCATGGTGGCCAGCCCGGTGGGGCTGCCTTGGGGAAAGGGAAAGCTCTCTGGATCCTCTCTGCTCAACCACAGCTTGGCAACGGACCCCTCAGTCAGAGCCTTGCATCCAGGGTTTGTCAGCATGTGCCTGTGAATACCTGTGGCTCGGGGCTCTGTTTGCAGATATATTGGGCTGTGCTTCTCTCTATATCAGCGTGTGGAGGGGCATTCTGTAATGCATGAGACTTCACAGCTGGGTCTAATCCACTTGCTTTGTGGGCTGGAAATGTGCAAACAGCAGCCGCATAACCCTCGCAGGAGAGGAAGCCCCAGAGCCCCCCTTGTAGCTGCACAATTCCCCGAGAAAGGCCGTAAAACATCTGTCTAGTATCTAGATTCAGAAGTGTCTCTGAGGTTGGTTTTCCTTCCACCAGTGGCAAAACTGGAGCAGAAAGAAACATGTGAACAGCTGCCCAATTTCAAAGCAGACCAGGGTGCAAAACTCAAGTGTCCTACTTTCCTACCTGCCCTCTGCCCATAAGGTGCATCAGATCACCTAAATAGGTGGCTTGAAGCACCTGAAACTTCATGCTTCGTGACCCTTAAATCTCACTCCATTCCACTCTTTTTGGTAGCATATCCTGTCCTATGCCTGCTGCCCAGTGCCCATGGACCCTGCACAAACTGGACCACTCGCTGGTACTTCGTGACTGTCGTTGGCAAGTGCAACCGGTTTTGGTACGGCGGCTGTCATGGCAATAAAAACAGCTTTGGCTCAGAGGAGGAGTGCATGAGAGCATGCCACAGCTCCGGCGGGGTCAGTCCTCTGGAGCACCACCCCTCTTCTGGCACAGGAACCCTGCAAGGCCAGCACGCTGGCTCCCGCTCTCGCACAGGGGATGCTCAGGGTCAGCAGCAGCCACCCCCGAGAGAGTCTGCAAGTCGCAACCAAGAAGGAAGAGCCTATGGGGCTTCACGCCCCACGCAAGACAGCCACAGACAGGACAGCTGGAGAAGTGAGGTGCTGCCAGAGTCTTTGCCAAGGACCAGCGTGCTGGAGAGCCAGCGCCGGGGCACCCAACAAAGCAGACTGGGCAGCCTGAGCCAGCCGCACTTGCAGGAAGCAGCAGTGCCCGGGCCCTCGGGGAGGCAGAGCAGCAGTGGCCAGCAGGTCCTGCCCCGCGAAGGCAAGCAGTGGCATAAGGCCTTGGGAGCAGATGTTTCCATGACGGAGGGATTTGGGCACCAGGTGTCTGCAGACTTGTTCCCAGCGCGGGCTCTGCACAGGTGATGGTTGGTTTGTTTGTTTGTTTTTCCTGTTCTGTCAGCTCATTGTGAAGCATCAGTGCAGATTCCTCTGGAGTGAAAGTGTTGCCCCAGCCGGGACCAGCTAACTGGGAATATCATGCAATGGATTGGCTATAGATGTGGGTGGCCCTTTGGTAAATCAAGTTATTCAGGCCCTGGAGTTATCTGCTGTCTCTTTCCTTGCACTCTCCTTCTTTCTGACAGCACTGGAAGTACAGTGTGTGAAAAGACTGCAGGATCCTGGGGTCTTTGTCTGGGAGGCATTCTTACACTGTAAATAAGAATCCATAGGTGTTTTTCTTGTTCTGACCAAAAAAAAATTAACCAACTCTCTGACTTCAGAGCCTGCATAGAGCAGCAGTGGGTTGTTCTAGGAAAGACTTTTAAGATGCAGAGTTTGGGTCAGGATCCAGGTGGTGTCACCCTGAAAATCAGGAGTGCGTAGGGTTAGGTCTAAATGGATCTGTGTCTGTATAAATGGATCACCAGATCCATGTCTGTCTGCCAAGCTGAACCTCTTCCTTCAGAAAAGAGGGGTTGTAGGACTCTCTCTCTCTTCCTGGAGATACTGTGGCATTCAGTCTGTCCAGAGCAGCTTTTGCCATGTAGGAGAGGACTTCCCATGTGTTGCCTGGTGTATCTGCTCTGAGGTGAACAGGCAGCCAGTCCTGCTTTGCCCTGTGGTTGTGACTCATCCAGAGTCACCTTAGAGGACCCAGAGGAGAGGAGGGCAGCAGAGGTGCTAATGGAATCACTTTCTCTTTCAGAGCCATCCTGGAGGAAGCCAAGCCCTCTTTTGTGACAGCAGTTGTGGGACAAAACATCCAGCTGGTCTGCAAGACGGGCATGTCCCCCTTCTCCAGAGTGGAGTGGATGAGGGATGGCCGACCGGTCTCCTCTGACAGGTGAGCTCAGCTCCCTTCACTGATGGGCTCCTTGCCAAATATGCTTGCCCACTTTCTTTGTAATCTTACCTTTAACATTCTTTTAAAAATAAACAAACAAGCCCATGTATTGGCCTAAGAGTATGAACTGTCCACCTGGTCTGCGTACAGAAGAAACAGATACAGTCTGCAATAGTATTGAGGCGTTGGCTAGTGAACAGGCGCTGTCCCATAACAAGGCACTGGTGGAAGCTGACATGTGGGTAGTGATACAGAAAAATGCCATCTCTGTTGGATTCACCTTGGAGCAGCACTAAGTCAGTAGTCCAGGATGAAGCTTGTAGCCAAATAACTCAGAGTTCCTCTGGCTGGAAGTTTCTGGCACTGCCATCTAAGATATAACTTTTTTAAAAACTACTTTTAAAGCCTGTTTTTCCTGGGAAGTCTGTTTCCAGCAACAGTTTGGAGCCAGACAGTCACTTTGTGTTATGAAAATCACAATTGGGAAAAGCCCAGTTCTGCTTTTCTGTTTGCAGATGACTGCTGGGGCTCAGGCTCCTGCCTGGAAGGGCGGTTTGCCTCCTCATGGGAGAGGGTTGCTGAAAGCAGTTCCCTGTTTTCCCATCTCGGTTTCCTCTCTGTTCCTGACTTCCCTTCTGCCACAGTTATTTCCCCTGCCTGTGACCCCTCTGTGGTCAACAGGGTTTTGTTTTATTCTAAGCCGGGGAGGGCACTACCTGGTGATGGTTTATGTAACATCAGCAGGACGGGCTGCTCTCCCGTTGATGTCCGTGGCCGGGCAGGGGCAGTTAGTTCTCGCTCCTGTTGCAGGCACACCTACCAGTCCGACAGCTCCTTAGTGATCAGCCACGCCAAGCCGGAGGACGCCGGGACTTACACTTGCCTCATTTCTGACGGGAGGACAGAGAGACGACAGATTCAGTTACAGATCATAGGTGACTTATCTTCCATTTAAGACCAAAGAGGTAGCTCAGGGCTCCTCGTTAACAGCTATTGGCAACAGGAGCCATAAAGCCAGCTGCAGGAGCAAACTTCCTCCGCTGCCACACTGTGCTAGTAGGGTTGCCTTCACTCCATGGCAGTGGTGTCCCAAGAGCTAGTCAAAGCAGTTGACCTCCTCCGCTGTAGGGGTGCCAGGAAGGAGTGTGGAGGCAGCAGGGCTTCTTTTAGTGTTGCCTCACGATAAAACCTTAGCCCTAAAGCACTTCTTCCCCTGCAGGGTCACCCCATAACCAGAGTTGTGGCTTGCCTGTAACCTGCCCTGTTTCCAGCACAGCGAGCATGTCTTCCCTAAGAGCCATCAGCTACCTCCTGATCCCCGAAAGTAGGCTCCAGAAGAGGGGTTTTCTGCAGTTTCTTGGGTCCTCCATCTCACACTGTAATGTGACCAATGTGCCATAGCTGTCTCTGCTGGTGCATTTGTTTTGTGTTTCGCCCGAACAGGTCCTGCTGGGTAACAGATTCTCTGTTCTGAAAAATGTGCCGCCTTTAAGAAACAAAAAACAAAAAAAATGAAAGATTAGTCTCAAAAGATGGGCCAGCAAGGTACCCTGTAGCCTTCAATCTCTGAAGTGTACTTTGTCACAGGAATGGCACATGGGGCAGAAGGCACTGTGGCCTAAGGGATGCTGCAACATGCTCACTGACGGAGGAGAGAAAGGAGTCTAAAAATGCTTGCCTGCAGGTCTGTGACTCTCATTAGTAGACAGTGCAGGCTTACTGCAATAGCCAGCCAGAAAACAGATGGCTGAAGGGCTCTTTGGCTCCAGTTCAGCAAGCTCTCCCAAGCTCATAGAAACCCTACGCAAGAGGTCACAGTAAGAAGGGTCCTTTTATTCACATATGGCATTTTATTTTGAATAGAGTACCAGAGTATGGCTCTGGCAGAGGGTGAGAGAGGTCGGGTCCTTCACAAGGAAAACCAGCAGCATGGAGAGATATCCAGAGGCAGGAAGGTTGTACAGGCAGCCGGTTCCTCTGTGCATCAGCAATTCACGTACAGGTAAGTTCACATACAGGAACGGTTTGTCCACCATGTCCAGCTGATGAACCATATGGCGCCTCTTCATGTAGAAAAGCTGAAGACTGGAAAGGTCCTGGGTCAGCTGTTCTGGGGCACGGTTGGGAAG